CCCCCCCCGCCCGTGCTTTGCCTCCTCCCGGAGGGCAGAGCCGGCTGCATGCCTTCTGCGCCCCGCAGCCTGCGACCCCAATGCAGACCAGCTGCTTTTTTGAGCAGGAACGCTAAGGGGGAGCCCTGTCGAGCCCGTCCTACTGGGTGAGGCCAGGATGTTGAGCAGAGCGGCCTCAGAGCCATGAACAGGGAGGTCTCCCACACCCCCAAATCGCTGCAGTGGAAGCTGCAAGCCACAAATCAGAAAGAGTGAGTGATGCTGAGCTCTCTGTGTGTATATATCTATATATACATATATATACACACATACATACATGCTATAGAAGGATGTGAAACAGTTTTCAGAGGAACAGGCAGGATCAGCTTGAGACTAAAAGCCGGAGACACAAGCATGACCAAGGCATCCACAGGCAGCCAGCTCTGGTGTAATTACCATCCTCGTTATGCCACCACCAATGTCATTAAGTGTCATTAGATTTAACTCAGTTCCCTAGGACTTTCTGATTAATTGAATTACCCAATTAAGCAGGCCACAATCAAAGGGAAGATATTGTCATAAAAGCCTTAATTGTCCAACTTTTTTCCTGTTGAGCAGCTCTGAGTGTTCAATACACCATTAAGAGACTCATCATCCAGCTTCCTCAACAGTGGGTTCTGGGGTTTTTTCCTTTTTTTTTTTTTTGTCAACTTTAGCGTCCATTTGCTGTGAGCTTTATTTCAGACAGCTACAACACCGAGTGGGCACTTTGTTTCACAAAGCCCATGCGCAAGTTTACTTTGCAGAGCTATAAACCGCAGTAGGTGGTGTGTAGCAGATGGAGTTTTTCATGGAAGGTGACTGGTAGAGAAAAAAAAAACCCAACCCCTGCACAATATTTTGTTACTGTATAAAGAAAAGCCAGATTCTGCAAATACTTGGCCACGTGCTTCACTTTAACCATACAGACAGTGCCAAACTTCATTTTGATGAATATTTTTTTGCGTGTCGGTGATGCTAAAGTGACAGCTCGTTTCTCTCCTCCATCCCCACAGTGGTGCTGGCACAAACACCAGCCTGTCCCCCAGCGATCCAGGCACGGGAAACAAATCCTGAATAAAAATTCCTCTGCAACCCGCACGGGCTATTTGTGGTACAGAGCCGTTCCCGGTCCCCTTTGCTGTGCGGTCACACCAGCATCACCGCAGCACCAGGGAGGGGACGCAGCGGGGAAGAGCAGCTGGTGACGGGGAGCAGAGGCTGCCAGTGCTGGCTCTGAGGTACATGAAATGTCACCACCCTCCGAGATCTCAGCTTGTGGTGAAAAAGCCTTCGTGGGACAAGAGACTCGGTGGCACCAGACCTATTTACGCTGTTTGGCCAGCAATCTGGGCCTGCTGAGGGCACACCGTTTGTTGGACACATGCAAAAAACCAAAGGCCACATTTTCTACTTTATTATTTCACCAAAATCGAAAAGACCTAGGCCAGGAGAGAATATGATCCTTTTAGGAAAAAAAAGAAAAACACGTTTTCTTTCTTTTCTTCAAAAGAAAACACACTTTTCCTCCAAAGAAAATTGTTGTCAGGTCTTTGAGTAGTCTTCCAGAAAAAAAAATGAAATGAAATGTGGCAGCATTTGGTTAGAAGATGCAAGATGAACAAGCTGGGCCTTCTTTACACAGCAAGTCCAACTTTTGCCCTTTACATATTGCATTCCTCCTTAGAAAAATGGACACTGCCTATAAACCCTGAGGAAAAAAGAAAAAAAAAAAGGAAAAAAATGTGTCAGATGGGATTGAAAAGTAAAGGAGTTTCACTGATGGGTTATTAATCAAAATGTAGTTACGGAGACTAAAAGCATTATTGCTTCAGATTTAAAATAAAATATTCCTATCCAAGTCTCCGAGTACCAAATATCTGATTAATACAGTCAGATCAGATCACAGCAGTACTAGTGGTCCTGTCATAGGATCTCAGCTGGCCAGATGCTGCAGAGACAGATTTTTCATAGCAAAAAGGGAGCCAGCACTGGCACTCCCAAGCTTTTGGACCTCGCTCAAGGTAAGGCGCAGGGAGACGCAGCAGCTGCGTGGCAGGAGAAGGGAGTCTGCACGGCAGCGACAGGCTCTGGGCCTGGAAGGAACGCTACAACGTCTGGGCCAGACGCAGCAGCAAAACCAATGCTGAGTTCCTGGCATGTCCTCCCAACACGGCTTTTGGTGGCCTGTATCCAATGAATTGCTAGTCACAGGCAACTTCAGAGACATGTATGGGCCACACTTTTCACTCAAAGACCAGGTCAGGAGGGCTGAGTGACCTCAGATCGACACGTCCCTTTATTTTCTGGTGGGAATTCCCCTTGACACGTGCACAGGAAAGCACATGCCAGTCTGACAAACCGCCATTTCCTCTGGGCTGCGGTCACTTCCAATTTCTGCATGTCCTTCTAGAAGCTCTCCTCGATGCTAAATAAAAAGGCTGCCCTAACCCTGTTCCCAGTGAGTTAAAGCTCACTCTGGTCCTTCTTCGAAATGCAGGCTCACCAGGACACAGAAAGATCCCTGGTTTTTATAGAGGCGCAACAAGAGGAGACATTGACCCACTCCCGGTGAGCGGCAGAGGGACCTTACCTGCAGGGCAGCCAGCTTCTCCCTGCTCTGCCTTGATGGATGGGAACCCACACCAAGACCTGTGTATGGTCCCTAACTCCCTCCTGAACCCTAGCACGTTATAAATTAGGCTACCAGCCTTCCCATGCAGGCTGCAACACTTGTCCAAACTAACATGCATCTAATTGTAGGGAGTGAAATTCAGACTTAAAAGAAGGAAGCACGGGGCCCCGTCACCACGAGACTGATCACTTATACAAGTAAAGCCCACCAAGACTGTATCTCTGGTGGGGTTAACATGGAGCAGACTGGCTGTCAGCGAACATCACCTCCCCGTAGGCCCTGGGAAGCTGGATTTTTTTGCAGAAGCAAGGAGATGACTCAGAGGGAGCCCTGGCTCCCTGCAGAGTTGGTTGCAGGCACAGCAAGTCCACATCCACAGCAAAACCCCTCAGCCACCAGCTTTCCTAGGCACAGGCACCTGTGCACACGTGCTGTCGAGCTCCAGATGTTTCCCATTTGCAATGGCCCAGGTGTGGGGGGTGGTTATAAATGTGCCAGGGCAGGGGAAGGGTTGCCTGGGGGTTATTGAGTAACTGCTTGGGGCACCCTCTGCTTTTACAGCTGTAGGTAGTGTGGGTTCTTTTTTTTTTCTGTGGTTGAGAAATTTCAGGTAGAAAAGGATGAGGGGAGAGCTGGCATGTGTTTTTTAGGATGCGATTGTTTTATTTCTGTGTGTGATGGGAGTGGTGTATGAAATACTAGTGGGTGGAGAAGTTGTGTTGGAGGCTTACTGAGAAAGGCAGTGACTTCTGAGTTGTATCTGGCTTGCACCAACAAGGTGAAAAGCAGAATCTGTTGTTTTTACATGAACAGTAACTGAATAGATTTGTATTTGCTAATTCTGGGGTACTCTTCCTTAACCAATGCCATCAAATAACATTTATGAGTGATCAGGGTTTCTGTGTATGTGGGATCGGGGTGGGGGAGTGCATGCAGTAAGTAGAACTAGTGCCTTTGATAAGGCAAGGAAGAGGATGGTTAATCTGCCTGTGTAAGCAACACTATCTTCCTCTCCCTCTACAAAAGCAGGCCAGCATCAGCCATACCTGTTCTGTTTCATATGGTGAGATGGATGACTGGGACACCAGTGATGAATTCATTCAGCGACTGGATTTTTCCAGTTGTGGTGAAGAGAGTGAAGACAGAAGTGTAAATGAGGAGGATGCCCTGAGCTCAAGCCCCCCCCGGAGCTATGAGTTCCGCAAGTGGCAAAGGAGCAGTCCTCTGTCAGCAACCCCTCAGAGAAAGCTTAGTGAGGTTTTTCAGAGCAGGACAAAGGCCTGGGTGAGTCCTACTGTGAAGCCTTCACCATCCGTGAGCCACAGTATTGCTGAGACACCACTGCACATCACCTGGAAAAAGCTGCAGCTGTGTGACACCCCCCACACTCCCAAGGTAATGGTGTGTATCAGCCCTGTGTCTGAGCAGGAAGGGTCTGCGGCGTCGCTGGGGCATCACTGCATGGGTGGTGAGGGGTTCTGTTGCTAGCCCTGTGCAAAGCATGGTTTTTTTCAATGTTACTGTTGTTAAGCCTCCTACTCTTCCTTTAGAAAGCTGGACCACGAGCTCCTTAACTATGGAAGGGTTATTTTGTGGGTGTGAATAGAAAACCTGTGTGTGGGAGCAAGTGTCTTGACTCTTTCCAAGCTGTTGTTAAAACCAGTGAGTTGGCATTGGGTCAGTCCGACTTAAAAAAAAAAAAAAGGGAGAAACAAACCACCATGTGCCTTGGCTGCCCATGTGCCCCTTATGCTCTGCTTAGGGGTGTGGACATCTGTAGTGTCTCCGTAGGACACGTGCACTGTGCTCCCAGAGGGATAAATACATCTCTTTTTGAGGAGCTACTCATTCCAGGGGGAGCTTAGAGACAGGCAACTCCCCTGACTGCTCTGTACAGCATATTTTTGGATGCAAATGGGTTTTCTCTTGAAAGAAGCTGGAAATCAGCATTGTGGCTGGGGTATGCTTTGTCTGGCAAGTCTGGATCACCTCCAGCCAGCTTGTCCAGTGACGCTGATTCTCTCTGTGTGAAACTGATCTGCTCAGTGGATTTGGGGAAAGCAGGACTTCTTCTCAAGGTAGCAAATCCCCTGTGGAAGGGTTAACAAATCAATGTGTGCTTGTAGAGGAAGGTTAGCCTGTCTTCCTCTATGTCACTGTCCTAAAATGTAGCTTATTTATTGAGCTAGTTTCTTGGGAGAATGATCCCAGCCCCTATTTTCTGTGAAATTTCTTGTACAGAATATAATACCACCACTGCTTTGTGTCTTCTGTAAGCACAAGTGGAGACCTTGTGCCAGCTTCTCTGCTCCTAGACAACTCCTGTTGTCTGGCTTTTTGCATTCAAGACTGGCAATGAAATGTAGTTCTTTCAGTCCCCTCTCATGTTCCTGCTCTACTGATATACTGGTTGCTCCTTTGCTTAAGTGGTACGCAGATCAGTCCTTTCAGTACTTCTGAGCTAGGATTTGAGTTCTGTCCCCCTCCAGAAATCTGATCATGTGGAGAGAAGGATGAACCTATGGCCATATATGACCAACTCTGTGGCCGTATTTACTGAGGAATGGCCTGCTGCTCTCTAGGGGAAAGCGGCTCTAAATGGCATCGTTCCAAGAATTTCCTGCAATGACTCTCTATAAGAAATCTCCCTGAATTTCATCTGAAAATAGGAGAGAGGTCTAGAATCTTTTCCACACCAGATGGGCTACTGGTAGTGCAGGGTGCTTTCAGTGTATGCTCTTGTGTAGGTAACGCGTTGGCTGAATGCTTCAAGACATGCTGCCTGTGGTTTGTCACCTTGTAGCCCATGAGCAGCAACTGTATTAAATCAACAATTTCTTCTCCTTTGCTGTCTTCTGGGAGAAAGGTCTTGGTTTCCAAGCATGCTGCAAAAGGTGGTCTCTAAAGGGCCTAAATCTGCTTATAAATGAGGCTGGGAGCATTGATCTTGGAACATTTGAAGGCAAGAGAGCAGAGCCACACCTAACTGCAGACAGATGAGCACTGGAGCCCCAGCTAGGATGCATGGCAGAGGGGGCAGATGATTGTATTTTGTAGACTTATTCAATCCAGGAACAGATTGCTAGAGCTAGTTACGGTAACTGCCTTACACTGTATGGTAGCAGCTACTCTCAGATGATGTTACAGGAGACAAGTCTGCTTGATTACAAGACAGAGCCCTAGTAGAGCAGATGGGAGTTGCATACATACAACAGCAGGCTGCAATGGTATTTTAGATCCTTTCTTGACTTGTGGCTAGATTAGAACATACCCACTATTCTAAAGAGCTTCTAGGCTGTTGGGCAAATTGGGCTTGGACATATAGTGCTTTTAATACATCCATGTGCAGAACTTTTCCATCCAAGAGCAAGGACATGCAGAATAGAGCTTGAGAAAGCAATCAACAAGCACTTTCAGGGTCACAGTAAACCAGTAGCTGAACTTCCAAGTACGATATAGAAACAGAGTTATGTCCCTGAAGTAGCTATATCTGTGAGTGCAGCTTCAGTGAGGTGGATGCAGGGTACTGCAGGCAGCTCTAGACTTTATTTTTATTTTCAAAGCCTTTCAGTGAGAGAAGGGAGGAAGTCCAGATAAGATCCTGGAGCCACATCTCCACTCTCAAGAGAGACCAGTTGACCAAAGAGATACAAAGTATCTTGATCTTCATGACAGGGAGAGTTCTGGGTTCTTGAAGAGCTTTTAACTAGAAGAAAGAGGTATGGTAAAAACCCCTTTAGACCATACACCACTCTCTTCAAGCTGAAACAAGTCAAAACCAAATGTGTTTCAAAAAGCTGATGGTTACTGAAGGGGTCACATCACAGAAAGTGTGCGGACTTCTACGTTTTCAGATCAACTCTGGATGCTTCTCTGAAGTTACGCTTTACTCAGCCAAAGGTTTTGGATGAGTAGGTGAAACCCAATGGCCTGTCTTCTGTGGGAAGCTGAACTATAGGAGATCCAGAGATTCCTTCTGAACTTAAATTTTTGAAGCTGTTTTCTTTTCTTGAAGAGACCTGTTTTCTGGCCACTTTGCCAGTGGCCATGGAAAAAATATTTCTACCAACTTCCCCTATACTAATGCTGTGTATTGCTGGGGAACAGAAAGGAAACTTGGGTGAGGTTCTGTCTTCTCTCCTGACAAACCTGTCCTCACCAAACTGATGCAGCAGTCCCTGCTTGACAGAATTGGGTCTCCCACATTAATACAACAGATGACACAATTTCTGTGTCTCTGTAGGTAGGAAAGATGAGCAGCTGTCTCCTCCTGAGGACTATGCTTGCCAAAATGGTTCTGCAGGACTCACCCAAGTGAGCAGGGAGCAGAGTCTGAAAGGGCTTAGCAAAGAACGTAATACTTTGTGGAAGGAGAAGAAAACTGCCAGGCCTAAATTAGGGATGCAGGGTTTTAATGGTTCAGTTATCCTGAGGAAGGGAGCGGAGCTCTTGATTTGCAGGAGAACAGATATTTTACTCTGACATAGCAGCAACAAAAACATTTTGCTGGCTTATCTGCCACTAATTTTTTTTTTCTCAATACAGAGCTTGTTATCGAAGACAGCTTTTCCTTCATCTGGGGCAAAAAACCCATCCAAAGGCTTCCGACATCTGAGATTTACTCCCAGTACTGACTCTGACTCTACCCAAGCTTCTCTTGTCAACATTAATCCCTTTACACCAGAGTCATATCGACAGATGCTCTTTCTTCCTAATGGCAAGCGGAAGACCAGAGGAGACTTGTAAGTGAACTCCTTTTAAATAACAGGCTGCAAGGAGACTGTTTGAAGGAGATAAGTAATGATGGAGAGGTTTAGTACCTGGACTTGTTTGCTAACAATGACTCATTCACTTCTGTAGTGTTCATTGGTGCAGAGCAAACATTAGCAGACATATGAAGGCAATAGAAATATAAATAAAATCAATAATTTCCTTTGTTTGGAAATGTAAGCAGCGGATCAACAGCTAAGCTCAATGCTATGGCTGTAGGAGAAAATTGTATCTCTTTCTTTCTCGACCGTGGGTAGAGTGGAGCTTGATTCAGTTATGCACATACCCACATCTCGGAAGAAACGACGTGCGTGTTATACAGCTTTTAAGATGGGTGCAGGCTACTGCTGACCTGCAAAAGTTCTGGATCTGGTCTGGGTTAACCAAGACACAAGCTTAGTCAAATACCTGTGCACTACAATGACATTCAGCTTCTTTCATAGCCCCAACTGTAACATGCTCAGCTGGGTATCCCCCTTCAAAGTACAGTGGGGCAGTCCTCTCCCCTTCACTGGGAGCTTGTTGTGCAAGGTCGTGTCCTATGTAGCTTCACCAGTAGTAAGGTGGCCAGGAGAACGACGCTCCTGAACGATGCTAATCTGTCCTGTGGGCACTACTGAATTGGTGCGTGGAGGCTTTCTAAGTGGAAACAAAGACTTCCTAGCTTGGGACTACAGCCTTTAAGGCCTCAACTAGAAACTTGTGTATTAACCCTCTACAAAATATGTCTTTAATTAAACAGCGAAGCAAGGTTTGGAGATTCTTTTGAAAAAATATTTTCATTTCAAATCTCAGTTGGATTGCTGCACTGAAATGATACATCCAGGTTTTCCTAAACTTCTCTTACAGGAGTGATCCTGATCCAAGAAGCCAGATAAACCAGGAGCTGCCTACAAAGGTGAGGGCCTGTGTATTTCCCCCCACAGAGAGGATAAGATGCTTGTAAAGGTTTGGTGTTTGGTGAAATTTATTCTGCTATCAGACTATAAATCATAGCATCATAACAGAGGATGAACACCTATAACAGAATAGTTCCAAGCAGAATGTTTTATGTTAACATTTGCTTGAGACAAAAACCTCTGAAATTATTCCTGTCTCTAAAGGGGACTTGTACCAAAGCAGATCTGAAACTTGGACAAATAATCCTAAAACTCATTGATTTTGGTCAGGAGGTCTCTCTAGGAAGTATAATGTAAGTTTGGCTTCTCAGGGGAACTGTATTATTGAGCTAGTGTGAATAGTGACTGTACCTTTGTGGTTCGAAAAAGCGAGTGTATTGCTGTTCCTGTGAATCAGTGTACTGAGCATCTTTGGATGTGAATGGAACGTGGCTTCTTTATTGAAAATAATATATGGACCTGCACTGTGAAAGCACAAAGACTGAGCTGAATGGCTCTGATGTGGATAAGTGCTGAGCGCAGAGTTTCAGCTGCAGTACTCATAATGGCAAACTTA